TCAGAAGGAACTGATTATCAGGTGGAAATTTGTTTCACTAATTTAAAAATATCTCTTATAATAATGTTCCTTGGGGCACACAATAATTCAGAACTATACATGAAGGGATTCGGGGAAATATAGTTCCAATTTAGCTAAGTTGACACAATACAAATACAAGTCCTGGGACATTCTCAATGGTAGACCACATGTTAGGACACAAAACAAGTCTCTACAAGTTCAAGAAGATTGAAATCATATCAAGCGTCTTCTCAGACATTTACACCATGGAATACTCTGCAGCTGTAAAAAAGAAGGATCTCTTACCCTTTCAGACAGCATGGTGGGACCTGGAGAGTATTATGCTAAGCGAAATAAACCAGTCAGAGAAAGGCAAGTGTCACATGATCTTATTGATATGTGGAATCTAATAAACAAAATAAGCCAATGAACAAAATAGATCCAGAGACATAGAAGCATGGAACAGGCTGATGAATCTCAGAGGGAAGGCAGGGTGGGTGAGTGGGTGGGGAAAGGTTAACATAAGAATTTATATGCATATATGCATAACCCTGGACACAGACAATAGTGTGGGGAGGGCCTGGGGGGGAGGGGTAAGGAGTAGAGTGGGTCAATGTGAGGAAAAAGGGGACATTTGTAATACTTTCAACAATAAAGGTAAATTTGAAAAATAATAATAAATAAATATCTTACAATTCAAAACCCCCACAAAAAACAAATCCATCAGAATCTATCCCTTGTCAACTTGGTATCCACATATAACCTTTAAATCATTGTTAAAAATTTTAAAATAAGGGCAATAGCAACAATTTGCTTTCTCTTAACACAATGCAACTGTTCCTCATACAACTGTAACACGCTCTGTCCAAAGGAAAAAAAAAGTCCTTTTATCCATTTTGAGGTAATAATGATCCCTATTCTAGATAAGTCACATTCCTTTGGTATCCAGTAACTTTGCTCACATGGTCATCTCTGTTATTTATAACTACATTCTTCCACTACACATTCAGTATTCCCTTTGCCCTCAGCAAAAACCTTAACTGGTTGTGGTTCCTTTCCAGCTGGGGTGCCCTAAACCTTAATTCCTGAAAGGTCTGAGCCATTAAGAGTCCTGCCCCTTTTGGGTCACTATAGTTTTCCATGGACTTTTATCAAAGAATGTGGGAGTACTAAGAGGTACCTCAGGGGACCTCCTGCATTCTAGATGCACTCCTCTTCACTGCCATTTGGTGGTGGCCATCTAATTTTCCTTGATAGTTAGCATCAATCGCCCCTTGCTTGCTTTTTAATTCACTGGCATGAGAAAGTGAAGTGTTGAGGGGACAGTCTCATTTCTCAGTTTATTGGAACGCGTGATGTGCCCCTCAGTGGAAATATTCCTCCCTTGAGGCTAAAAATTCTAGACCAGTAGAGCCCAAAGTTGTAGGGAACAGGAAGAAAAAATTTCACTAGTTGATCAACAGAAGGAATAATGAGAGGCACCATTCCCACTTTCTATATTTGATTCCTGGCCTTGTGAATTCTGGTTCTAAGAGAAACAGCATCATTTATTGATCACTGATTTTAGATCACGTACTGTGTCTTGGAAGATGTTGTCCCAGCTGACGTCATAATCGAACTGCATTTACCTGCCTGTGACTGCAGAGATAGATGCCACCACCAAGAGCTTGAAAGATGCAGAGTGGCAATTCCTACCACATTGCTTTCCATTAGTCAACCTGCCACTTGTGAAAGAAAGATGGATCTTGAAGACTAGCATTTGACTGCACCTTCCACTAAGAAAAACATACAATGTTTTGGGAACCACTTAGGATTTTGGAGGCAGCATATACTTCATTTGGTCATATGATTTTTACTTATTTACTGAGTAATCCAAGAAGCTTCTAGGTTTGAGTGGGACCCAGAACAGGTAAAGGCTCTGCAACAGGTCCAGTCTGTCAAGCAAACTGCTCTGTCATTTGAGCCGTATGACTTAGCTTTTCCTACCATAAGAGCCCTCGCTGTATGGGTCAGGAAACCAATGTGGGGATTCTTCCATATCTAAGTGTGTTTATTCCAATTGTCATTCCAGAAATAATTCCAGGGTTCTCACCACCTCTGGAAGGAGAACTGAAATGAGAGTGGTGATGAAAGGGGACATTCCCTGCGTCTCTGTTGTTTGAATTAATTAATTTACAATGGCCATGCAACTATGTTTTACTTGGAAATTTTAATCTTTGAAATTTAAAATAATGACAACAAAATTCACAATTTGATACTGTATTAGGAAGGTTTTGTATTTAGATCATGAGACATAATAGTATGTAACAGAGTGCTTTGCACAGAGCTGCCATGAAATAAATGATTGTTGAGCTGGGGGAACACACATACTCATGCTTACACAGACTCTAGAGGGAAAGTGCATACATAGTTCAAGGGACTGTCAACTACACTGCAAAATGTTTTCTAAAGAAATCTTGGATAAAATTGTATATTCTTATCTTTCAAAAAGCAAAGCTACTAATTTCCTCCCTAATACATATTAAATAAACTGAAGTCAGCAGTATTAATAGTCTTGGTAGCTCTAGTTTGCTTAGAATTTAGTTAAAAACTTATTTGTAAGGTTTTCCTTTTTTTGACTGGCATAGCCATTCCTGATTTCAAGGCCTTTTATTAAGATTTTCTACGCTGAACATGAAAATCTTGGTGAATATCAGTTTTAGGTTCCTTTCTTCCTTGGGTGTAGGTTTGCTTTTGCACAACACGAAATAGTCACTTTAAAAATTTTATTTGTAGCTTTAAATGCTAGGCTCTACTGCGTATAATATTTTAAATTTTTGTTTCTTCCAATATTTGTTCTTCATCTGTGTAAAATAGCCAACCACTGAATGATTAGAATCTAATGCCCATGGTTATATTCACTATTTTTGGGGTTTTCGGTTACAGTTTATGTTGTGTTTAAACAAATCATTTTCTATAGGAATATTGTTGGTTAGGGTAACAGATGTGCATATTTTACTCAAGAAAGGCTTTTTTTAATACCTGGCTTGTAGAATATTATAAACTCAAGTTGGAGTATATTCAAAGTTTAAGATGTTAAAAATAATAATGAATCGGTTCCTGGAACAAACTTACATTTTGAAACAGAGTAAAAATGTGACAGTGATAATCCAACCTATAGATAAATGTGCTCTGTTCTAACTTGGCAGTTTTATTTTTCATTAAAAAATATTTTTAAAACTTCTATGTGTTTTCCACAGTGTATATAGAATTATTTGGTCCCAAAATATATAGAAAGAAGGATAAGTATGTAAACTGTCCCATCTTAAACCTGTCTTATGTTTAGGGCAATTGCCTTTAGGTGTCACTTCCCAAGCTTCAGTTTTGTCATATGTAAAGTGGTGAAAATAGTATTTACCTAATAAAATTGACATGAAGACTAAATAAGAACCAATGTAAATCACTTAACATAGCATCTGCCAAGCAGTGGTTAATTAATGTTAGTTTCCTTCCTGAAGCTATAAAGGAAGCTTAAAAACTTTCCATTTTTCTGTTTTTACTCCTTTTTTTCAAGGCAACATATTTTTAATTGTTCAAAAGTTTTCCTTATTTATAAAATTATGGGAATTTCAGAAACATCCTGCTTTATAGTCCCCAGAAAAACTTCCTATGTATAAATGCTGATTCTGGTGTAAATACACTTCATTTTTGGTGTTATTAGTGACCCCTTCATAACCTAAGATTAATTTACCTTCCTTAATACAAAGCTCAATAAGACGCTGGGGAGACTCTCACTATTGAACTGAAAGATCAGCAAGCTTCAGCTGTATTTAGGATTAGATATTGCAATGTTTTATAAATAGTTTCATTATTATGGCATTTAAACAATTTCTCAATAATTGAGTCATTGATTAAATGTGCAGAACCAATTCGAGTCATCCTGTGAAAACCAGAGGCTCAGTAACAAATCAACACACAAAAACATGAAAACATTGGCTTTATAAATCTGTTCTGGATTTATATAATGAGTCACTTTTAACTCTTACTCCAAAAGGAAATTGACATCTGTAGAATCTTAAGAGAGTGTATAAAAAATAAAAATAAAACAGAAACTTTTTAGGTCATGTCATCCACCCCCAAAGACTAATTCTTCATCATATATTTTCATCACTTGGATTGCGAATGTAGCACAAGCAAGAGATGCTGTGGCTGCCACTAGGGTGGCAGCAATGGAACTGAGAGAAGTGGATGAGTTAAAGATATTTTTGGTAGCAAAGACAAAAATACCTGCTGATATACTGGGTGTGGAGATTTAATAAAGGCTGATTTCAAGATTTTCTGCCAGAAGGATTTTAACATTTACGAGATAGGGATGACAAAGCAGAGAGGAGGACACAGGTTATTTAAAAGTATTTTGGTCACGTCAAGGTATCAGCTCCAGGCGTCCTGTGATGTCCTCTGGGCATTTGTGATAGATCTGGACTGGGTATTTAAAAACTTGTGATACTATATTATTTTGACAATTATTAATAACAATTATTATTACTATCACCACGAATGCATTGGAAAGTAGAAGCAGCAACCTAGGACTTTCTCAAGCTCTTGGGGAAAAAACAAACAAACAAAAAAAAACGCTAATAAAAAAAGGCAGACGTTTGCAAGCATTCCCATTCATTCTGCAGCTCGGGGAACCTGGAGCTCCGTGGTCCAATCAGCTTCCAAATCCTTGGCGTCAGCAAGTGGGCGGGCTCAGAGGGATTGGGTGTCCCCAGCTTCTCTGGCTGGGCCACGTAGGAAGCCGTGCAGGTCCTTGAAGGTACATAAGTTACCTGTAATTCATTGGCAAAAATAGAGCTTCCTGTTCAAATTTATTGCTTGAAAATATTCAATAATACATATCTTTAAATGCTGCCATTTTTGGTTTTTAAATACTTTCTCATTTTCCTCTATCGCCATATAATCTGCCTCTGAGCGTTGCGGACCTGCCGTTTTCTCCTCCGCGCATGCGCCGGGGCAAGAGAGGACCGGGCCGTTTCCCGGCGGCGAGTCGGGCTGGAAACCTAGGACTGCCCTCGCCGCCGCCGACATGGAGACGTTGTACCGAGTCCCGTTCTTAGTGCTGGAATGCCCCAACCTGAAGCTGAAGAAGCCGCCCTGGGTGCACATGCCCTCGGCCATGACGGTGTACGCCCTGGTGGTGGTGTCTTACTTCCTCATCACCGGAGGTAACTCGGGCCGGCGTGCGCGCCGACTCTCAGCCCCGGGGCGCGCAGAGCTCCGCTCGGGGTCAGGCCGGAGGCTGGAGGGCAGTCCTGGGGTCCCAAGTATTAGCAACCCAAAGCTTTATTTGCCCTCGCGCCCCGTCCTGTTATCCTGACGGCTCTCGCGTTGTCACTCCCACTGCTTTTCACCTCCTAGCCTCTCAGCCTAGGGATCCGAATGGAAAACGTTTTGCAAAGGCAGAGGGTTGCTTTTACCGATTGCCGTTAAGTTGTTTGACAAAGCCTAGACCGGGCGAGTCCAGTGCGGCCCGTTCACTTCCACGGCTGGTCAGGAGAGTGTGGGGCGCCTCCCCGTTCTTTGTCCCGGGCCCGGAGCCTGGGAGGAGACGCGGGGGTTCTGAGGCCCGTCCGCTCCCGCCCCAGGCGTCAGGCTGCGGGGTAGGTCCCGGTCGGCGGTGAGTGTGAATGGCATGTCCCCAGAGCGCGGCTTTTTTCGAGATTGGAGGTAGGTTTGCAGGTGGCGTTATATTTCAGAAAGGCCGAAGTTGAGAATTTAAAGACGACGGAAAATAGGGTTCACTATTTAAAAAAATCTTAGGAATTGTCTCGCCACGTTCTCTTCAGATACAGAAAGTGGCCCAAGGGGCGTTGCTTCGTGTCGCGGTGAGTTGGCAGGCCAGCTACCTAGTCTTCTCAGGGACACCTCCCTTTTGAAGCCGCAGCTCCACCATTTACTCCACTGTGCTGCTGTTATGTATTTTGGGAAGTGGGGTACTCAGTTGGGACGCAGAGTTCAAGGTCTACAGGATGGGGATGGTGGAAGTGGTTCTCCTCTGAAGGGAATGGTCAGACATCTTCATGTTCATAGGCGTTTGTGAGCATAGCTGCACTGAAGGGGGGAGAAGCTGAAACCATGAGGGCTTAGTTCTAGAATGTATCTTTGAACTACCCCCACCGCCCCGCAGAACAGTGACAATTTCCTTACGCTGCTTAAATAAATACGTTTTAAATATATATATTTTTTATGTTGGTAAGCTGCTCTCCTAGCATTGCGTTAGCATTTCCATTTGCTAAGCGCTTTAATAGGTACTGTATGGAATAAGTGAAATTTAAAATGCATGTGGCTTTAAAAAATAATAGAGCCTTTATGGGCTTTTATCTGCTACTCTTTTTTCTCTAATCCTTACATCCCTTGGAGCCAGAGCCTTTGCCAGAAGCCTCTCAAAGTTTTCATTCTGGCTGCCTTTTCCAAGTTGATTGTTGTAATGGGGACATTCTCTTCCCTGAAGCCTGGGGGAAAGGCCATGAGGTATCTCACACAAGGAATTGGTTTTGCCGCTGGAAAGGAGTCTCTTCGAAAAACTGAGTGTACCTTTATAAATAAACAATATTTATTGCAGAGAAGTATTCAGCACGTAACATATTAAGTCCCTGTTAAGTTCCAGTTGCTAGGTACTGGGACAACAGTGAATGGAAACAGGTAAGGACCCTGCCCTCCTGAAGCTTATAATGTCATGGTTGAGACATGTTAAATATCACATACATTTTTTTCTGTTACATTATTTATTTCATTGCAAAAATATCACAAATGCATTGAAGGAAAAGAGCAGGAGGTTATGAAAAAAATAATGGGAATTGGGAATGTCATTTACATCGGAATGTTGTTCCTAAGGAAAATGACGTGTTAGCCAAAATCTGATGGGTTTGGGGAAAAGAGTAAAGGCTAGGCAGAGGGAAAAAATATGGACAGATATGGGACTGAGAGAACAATTAGGTGGGTTTGGAGTTGACTTACACCAGATAGGTTGGTGGGCAGTGGAGATGGAGGAAAATATAATGAAAGATATTTTGGAAGCAGATTCATTAGGTCTTGATGGATTGATTGGATGTGGGGGGAGAATGAAGTGAGAAGGAATCTTACCAGTGTCTGGTTTGAGCATCTGAGTAAATGAAAGTCATTTTCTAAGACTGAAGAAACATCTTTTTTGGTGGAAAATGGTGAACTGGAGGTCACTTTGGGATATATAATAGTTGAACATAACCAACTATAATTAGTTGAGTATGTGGGATAAGAGCACTGAGAAAAGCGGTCTTTGTTGAAGTTGGTCAGTAACAAATGTTTTCTGAACTCCTCCCATAAGTCTGATCTTGAAGAACACGGTCAAAGTCCCTGTTCTGGGGAAGCTTACATCTAATTCTAATGGTGCTAACATTATCTGATAGGTGTTGGCACTTTGAGAGTCATTAGCACATAGAATTGAGAGCCCCGGGAAGGGATGAGCTCAGGAGAGAATGTAGAAAAAGTGGGCAGTGGATCAAGCACTAAGGAACTTCCAGCACCTAGTGGTTTATAGAAGGGGAGGCTCAGCTAGAGAGGTAACGAAATCATGGACAGGAGTGTTACAGAACCGTGAGAAGCCGCTTTTCCTCCCAAGAAAATGGGTTTAGAAAATAGGATCGAGTGCTGCTGGGAAACCTCCTAAGATGAGAACTGAAAAGTGGCCATTGGCTTCAGCAAGAGTGGTGTCAGTCAGTGGTGACAGAAGCCAGATTGGAGTGAGTTGAAGAATGAAGGGTAAGTGAGGGACTGGAGACAGAAAATTTGCCAACTTTTTTCCAGAAGGAATCCTGACTCCCTTTCAAAAAGGAAGCATAGCAATGGGATGTTAGCCAGAAGGATCTGGAGTCAAGGGAAGGTTGGTGTAGGGAAAGACAGGTTGAAAATATAGGAGAGAGAAGAGATATCCAAAGGAACAAAATCTCTGAGAAGGCAAGAGGGGATGGAGTCCTGATCATTGGAGAAGGGATCCCACCTTCATAGGAGGAGGGATTCTTCCTTGATGGGAGCTGGAGGGAAAGAGGTGAGGATAGATGCAGGTGCCAGTTGTAGGTGGGGGAGGGAGGGTTAGGGAATTCCAGTACTATTGCGTTGTTAGTGGGGAGGGAGACACCATCTATGCTTAAGAAAAGCTGCAAGTGAAAATGTTGGAGAACAGTGGAGAAAAACAGATGTTGACAGTGGGAGATTCAGAAAACTTAAAGTAGTGATAGACATTAACATTAATGATCATGAATCTCTAGTGCTAAAGGTGTGATTAAAAATGTTTCCTTGTTTTACATTTAAACAAGAAAATTTCTCTAGTAGCTCTTAATTTATAGAAACAAATCCAGGCTTATGTGGAACATTTTCTTGAACTAAAATATAATCTAACGTTAAATCTGGTTTATTGTGGAGTCATACCTGAGTATTAGAAACAGTTACTGAATGTGTTTCTTTTTTGAAATAACTCTTAGAGATAATATTGTTTTACAGATCATTCTGAAGTATTGAGTTGAGTTTCTGAATGGTTTTATCTGAAGTTTAGATTAGCTGGGCCTTATTTGATTATAATAATATATCAGAGCAGTCCTATTTAAATATAAATGAACCTTTAGAGACAGACGAGAACTAATTCTATTTTAAAAATTAGGAATTCAGTCTAATCTATACTGTTGTCTTTCATACAGGAATAATTTATGATGTTATTGTTGAACCTCCAAGTGTTGGCTCTATGACTGATGAACATGGGCATCAGCGACCAGTAGCTTTCTTGGCCTACAGGTAAAAGATAACTTTTTGAATGATTTGGTGGTGGGAAAGAAGGGTGCTGGGCCAGGCCTGTTTATTTAAAAAAATAGTGAAACCTATGGAGTCCATCTGTATTTAGACAATAGCTGTTTAAAATGCTAAATTCAGAAATGGCAGGAAGTGAGCAGGAGTAAGAGAAGTGTATGTTACCTATTCATTTATTAGGAAATAAACATATTTCACAATGATATGATCAGTTATTTAAAGGAGGGTATCTGTTTAAAATAACATTTGTAGACAATTCTGGGAATGAACAAACCAATTTGTAAGTAAAGCTTTATTGACAATAGGCGTGCCCATTTGTTTGCATACCATCTGTCGCTGCTTTCAAGCTACAGTGGTAAGTGTGGCACAAACCATATGGCCTGTACTGTACGTGGCCATTAGTACAGTAATATATAATATAGAAATATATATTATTAAATAAGAAACATAATTTTTGAGGCTTGGAAGTTCCATTTCAGCAATGAAACACTGTTCCAGTGTGGTTTGGTTTACTTGAGCAATGCTTATTGTATTGCTTTCTACAATCCATTTGATAACTGTCCAACTGAACTTAGGTATATATTTGTATTTATACCTTATATTAATGGTATTCTTTGCATAGGGTATTTCTGGAAAGGTTATTGTGATTCTCTGGGGAGGGGATCTAGATGACAGGTGATCTTGATGGTAGGGAAACCTTTCACAGTGTCATCATTTGTGCTGTTTGAATTTTGAACCTGGTGCATGTATTGAGTTTTCAATTAAAGCAATTAACAAAAAATAGGTACCTTTTTTGCATATACCTGTGTATAAATCATCCCTTTAACAGACACATTTGCTTTTGGAGGGCCATGAACTCTAAAAATCAGATACAGATAATATACAAAAATTTGCACATAATTATAGGGCTTATAGATCATTGGGAATCCTTGTGGGGGTTCATGGAGCCTTAGTTAAGAACACTTGTTCTTAAACTTTTCCCTTTGAAACTAGAGGTTTATTAATTATTATAAATAAAAACCTTTTAAGAACCATTTCTAACCAGTTTAGAATTAATTTGAAATTGATAGAAATTTAAATAGCATAACTTTTAAAAGTTAAACTAAAGACCTGGGTAAAGGATTCTTATACATACAGTAATTGCTTCTTAAGCTAATAATTAAAACGTGAGTATTGATTTTCATAGACAGTTGTATTAGTTGAGGTTTTAAAACTCCTTTGGAAATATGCTCCATGATTACAAAGCTTTTTGGCTGTTTTGTTCATTGTTATAGCCCCAGAACCTAGAATAGTACTTGATACATAATAGGCTTTCAATAAATACTTGTTGAAATGAATATGCAGAAGTGTAGTAAATTAATTGTAAGGGTAAGAATAAAAAATTAGCCCAAAATGTTTTAGCAGAAGTGGGAATTACAATCTAAGGAAAAAGTTTTTTGTTTTGCTGGGAATTTTCATTTTTTATTTTGCTGTGTTCTTTCTTTTTCAGAGTAAATGGACAATATATTATGGAAGGACTTGCATCCAGCTTCCTGTTTACAATGGGAGGTTTAGGTTTCATAATCCTAGACCGATCCAATGCTCCAAACATTCCGAAACTCAATAGATTTCTTCTTCTATTCATTGGATTCGTCTGTGTCCTATTGAGTTTTTTCATGGCTAGAGTATTCATGAGAATGAAACTGCCGTAAGTTATTAAGTATTTTGTATAATCATCAGCTTAACCCTGTTTCAGATTGGTAAAATAATTACCTAGATCACATAAAATTATAGATTTAATTTAACTCATTTAAACATGAAAATTCTGAGAACTAAAAAAAATTGTGACTTTCTCAAGGTTATAGCTTTAGTTAGTAGCAAAACTTAGACCAATAGATCTTCCTGATTGTTATCTTCATGCATGTTCATGAGAAAATTTAGTTATTTTGCTGTAGCATCACTAACCACTGTTTTTCTAAAGTGCTTTTTGGTTAGTCTGTAACATCTGGAATCCAGTAGGAATGGTGATAGTAGGGAATATTTTCAAGACATTAATTGCTGCTGCTGCTTGATATTAGTATGAGGAAAACCCATTAAGTCTTGCATGGGAAAGAGGAGTTGCCTCCTCAAAAAGATGGGCAGGGATTTTATTCATATATATTTGTGTGTATGTGTGTGTATACACATACACACGTATATGTACATATATACATATATAGTTAGATCATTTTGATTCAGAAAAGGTAGAATATCTTTAGAACAAAGATAAATTCATTTTATGGCAACTTATAATTCCATTTGAGATCACTAATTTGAGATTTGGGGAAATCACATTTCCCTATATTCTGATTTCACCTATGGATGCATTAGTAAGTAACTATGGGAACTTTGAGCAAGCATACCATACAAATATTAGCTCTTAGTAAATTAATTTTTTCAGAAATATTTTAAATATTAAGTGTTAACTATGCTGATTTTTTAGAACTGATATCCCCTTATTTTATTTTTTTAAATCCTCACCTGAGGATATACTTTTATTGATTTCTAGGGAGAGTGAAGGGAGAACAAGAGAGAGGAACATCAGTGTGCAAGAGAAACATTGATCAGGTGCCTGCCCTACACACCCCGACTGGGGATTTAACGTACAACCTAGGTATATGCCCTGACCGGGAATTGTACCTGCAGCCTTTTGGCGAATGGGATGACACTCCAACCAACTGAGCTACCTGGCCAGGGCGCCCCTTATTTTATTATAAGAGACAATAAAAGGGAATATAAGAATATGTTTGACTTTCACAAGTTTACTTGTTCTATGGCTTAACCTGTCCGTCATCTATAACACATGTGGGGAGAATGGGCAGACTTCCCCTGAGAAAGTCAGAAGTACTTACCCTGTAGCCGTGTTCCTATCCTAGCCCTCCAAGATGGGAAAGGAGAGCACAGTGCTCTTTGTCAGCTGAGTATTCGTGTGGCCATATAACTTCCACAGACTCCTCTGCCACTGGCTCTTGTTTTTGTCTGGGGGAAAGAGTTTTGCCCATTGGCTAAATTGTATGAAGACTTAGGTGTACTAGCCTTTTCTTTTTGCTCCCCTTTTTTCTGCCTCTGTTGGAAAAGGTGTGCTGAAAGAGGCTAAAGTTTCCATAGCAAAACAAGAAGAGAGGAGACTCCAGAGAGCATAAGGAGGCTATTAAAAATTAACAACCAAAACAGAAGGAACCTTTGGAGACACAGCAGAAGAGAAGTGGGCTGGTTTTGCCCAAAGAACCGGATTTGTTGTCATTCTACCTTTGCTTCCCATTCTTGCCTACAGTTTTAGGTCCTTTCCTTAGGATTCGAGTGTGTTTTTCTTTTAGCTCAGGCATTTGACTTTCAGAATAATAGAGCTATTGACTGCTTACTAAAATGCTTTGATAAGTGTTTAATTCTCCGGATTGCCTCCATCTTTACTTTTGCATTCATTTGTATAGATATTTGTTCTCCTGTCCCCATTCTGTAGGCCATTACTCAAGATTGTTGACTAAGTCAACAATAGGAAATAGGATAACTCTCTGGGTTTCAGGTGTGGATTATATTTAGGTGTAATCAAAGCAGAACAGTGATCTAAGCAGAAAATTGCTTCTTTCTGTAACTTGTCATACAGGTAACTATAGGATTTAAGTTTTTATAAGGGAAGAATTTATGGTTCCCTCTTTGATATGATTTCTCATCTACAGCCGCTAATGCCTGATATCTTAGGTGTGGAATGAGAAGAAACAATGGACAGTTTTAGAAAAGAAAGGGAAAAACAGTGTCGCATTTTCTGGAATATTTGTAGGCCTCAGACGCAGTGATGAGCTGAGCCAAGTTTGTGAGTCTGTGTATTGTACACAGTAGGGTTGTGGTTTGTACCACTAGCAAGGAGGATATGTGTCTTTCTTGCACATGCATTATCTTTGATCCCAACATATATAAACATCTTGATACAAAATAAGTGGAACAGCAACAACAAAAGGACATTTAAAAACACCAGTAACCATTTTTTTTTCAGATTAGATAAGTTGCTAGCATCTGAGATAAGATGACCATGCTAGGAGGTACATCATGATAGCCTCCAGTGTTGGACTATTTCACAAAAACTTTATTTTCTTTAGCAAGAGGGGCCTTTAAAAAGGAGAGAACAAGAGCAGTGAAATGCTATTTTTTTTTTAAGAATAGTTTATTGATTTTTAGAGAGAGGAAGGGAGAAGAGAGAACAATGTGAGAGCGTAACATCAATGGACTGCCTCCTGCATGTCCCCTACTGGGGACTGAGCCCGCCCCCCAGGTGTGTGACCTGACCGAGAATCAAACCAGCAACCTTTCCATGCACAGGATGATGCCTCACCAGCTGAGCCACACCAGCCAGGGTGGTACTACTAATTTTATAGTTTGTGATTTATGCTTTTTTAAAGACCTGATGTCTCCCCCCTACTGATAAAATTTTACAAATTAAAACATGGCTTTGCTACCTTGTCCTTTGAAGAAACCATTTGCATACATGACAATACATTTAAAATGAAAAAGTCAAATTTTAGTGCCTAATATTTTATTGTACTAGCACAAGGTTACAAAGGAGAGATTTTCATTTTGAAAATATAATTCATAAGATAATGTATGTGAAATTGTGTGTGTGAGGTTCCTTGTAAATGTGCACAGGTTCAAAGAGGTAATGTTTGTACACTGGGTAGAAGACTTTGGAACAGATTTGTATTTGGTTCTTCTAAAAAATAATAGTCATTAGATTCTCTTTAGCCTCCCTATTAAAGTATTTTTGACCTAGTGGGAGAATCTTAAAATTAAAAGAAATAAAAGATGCCTGCTGTGTCATGGTGTAATGGCCTAAAGTCAGGCAAAGTAGTTGGAAGAGGAGGGTTAGGTTCCTACATTTAGGCAAGTCTTTTGTAAAACTGTATAAAATAGACTAAATAGATACAGTTATATAATTGAAGACAAAAGGCCTATTTTGCTCAGACTGGCAAAGTAATTTGAACTAGTGTTAATTAAACCTGATGAGAGAAGCTAGGCGGGCGCCCCTGAGTAAATCCTAAGATCATGGGATTAGTTCAGAAAAGAAGTTTTCCTATGGGGGGTGGGGTGGGGTGCAAAATAGAAATAAGAATGTAATACTATTTTACTCAGATTAACATCATTTAGGGAATAGTTTGATGCATATATGTGATTTTTCCATATAAGTGAAATGTAATCCTACATGTACTAAAACTTTATCTTTTTCATTGACAGACCACTTTCAGAAGTGTTTGTCTAATTGCCTCCTTCACGCTCGCATTTGTATTTAGCAAATATTATTTGATAACTGTTATTTGCTGGACACTGAACATTAAGCATAATTTTGCCTTCTTGACTCAGTCATTTTACACTTACACTTAGACATAGTGCTTTTCAGTTTTTAGTGTGTTTCCTCAGTGTAACCTGTCACTTCTCATTGTCATCACTGTAAGCTGTTTTGATTTCGTCCTTTCGGTGTTCCTTCGCAGTTGGTTGGTTATTGTGTGATTTGAGGAAGTAGATAACCTAGTTATTTGATTGCATCCTAAATCAGGCCTGGCTGGAGGAGAGCAGGATGGCCCGGCTTTTTCACAGAACTTTAGGTGTTTGAGTCTCTTTCATTTGCTTCCAGGTTTGGAGCTTTATTCAGAAAGTTAAGGTTGTAGACGCCCTGGCCGGGTGGCTCAATTGGTTGGAGCATTGTCCCGTGCGCCAGAAGGTGGCAGGTTCAATTCCTGTTCAGGGCTCGATCCCTGTCGGGATGCATGCGGAGGCAACCTATCAATCTCTCTATTTTTCTGCCTCTCTCCCTCTCCCTTTTTCTCTCTCTCAAAACAATTAAAAACCAGCAAACATCCTCAGTGAGGATTTAAAAAACAAAAACAAACTAAGGTTGTAGAGAGTTGGGCATTGGAATAAACTGGGTGGTTTCAGTGAGTGAAATCTCTTACCCAGGGGTCATTGTTAGCAGAGGAGAGAAGGAGTTCTAACCAAACAAGATGCAGTGCTGCTGAGGATGGTGTGTGGTAGGAGGAGTGAGGGATTTGGAGGCCGTGTGGGGCTTGTTGCTGCTTCGCTCTGAGACTTCAGATCAGCTCTGTGGACTCTCAGATGCCAGACTTGTTAAATAAAGTTAATTATGTGACTCAGAATTACTGTCGAGATTAAATGAGAGGATGTTGTGTGTGCTCTCAAGCATAATATTAATATTAATTATTAGTGTTTTTATTGTAAAAATAAACAGAATCCTAAAAGTTTTATATTTCAAATTGAATTATGGCCACCATTTTAAAAATAAATAAATAAGCAATTCCTTTTTCTAAACGAAGAAAGTGAGGTTTCTGTTTTAGGACCATTGGAGGAGATAGTGGACCAGGAGTGGGACACTTGCGTTTTCATGCTTGTTCTGTGATTTTGAGCAAACCACATTACTACCCCCATGGTCTTATATTCTTCAGCTGCAAAATGAGAACAGTATTTGTTTCACCCACCTTTTTAAGATTGTTGCAAGGGTTAAATGCAAGAATGCATGTCATAGTGTTTTGAGAAATTTCTGTTAGTGCTAACCTGACACAGTACCTGCCTCATTTACAGAAGGCACTCTGAAAGAGTGAATGGCTTAAAGTAATGGTTAAATAGAAGATCGTTCTGGCTTCTCTGTCCAGTTGTTTTTTGAGTTCTTGATTTACTTTACTTACTTATAATGCTTATATTAGCCAGATACTTGTATTTGCCAATAATTTTACTGTGTAAAATTATCACAAGCCTAAATATAATAATTAAAGGTTATGACAATTTCTAGGCCGTGAGAAGGGACTAAATGATTCTAGGAGAAACCATAGTAAATGTGTTTCAACAAGTTTATTTTTATTTCCTACCAAGAAGTGTATTTGTTCTTTTTTCTTTCAACATGGTATCGTTATAGAATTGTAATATTTCTTAATGTTCCCCCAGTTTTTCCTAAGGTAGGACTGTATGTGTTTGGCAGTTTTGAACAAGGATTTGTTCATTTAAATACTCTTTTCCATCTAAATCTGGGTTGACAGTAATCCGTGGATTTATAGTATATAAATGTAGGTCACACACTAGTTACAAGGAAGAATGCCACAACATATTACTGTATCGAGATCAGTGTCCAAGAGTGGGTGCTTACATGTCAATATGTGGGGATGACAGGCAACTATCCCCAAAGAGTCCTCAGTACATCAGGACTACAAAGTGTGAGCTAGCTGTTGAGTAAGTTCTGCTGGTGCAGATATTAGTGGATACGTCCTTACAAGCTTCTTGAACTTTTTTTCTTGTGACGTTTATGTTTTAAAGCAAGCTTTTTATGAAGTGTCAGGCATTATAGTAGCAAACTTATGTGGGATCTTCAAGGTTAATATATATCCTAAGGACCTTTATTTTTTATTCTGTTTTTCTCTTGGCTGGGGTCC